AGTAAGTCTTGTGGCTTCCATTCTTTGAAAACAAAGATGTGTTAGGTGTTTAGCATGTGCTGGCCATTTAGAAATGGATACAGAAAAACATAGATACTTCTCTGTTCTCTATCTTTATTAGTTTCTTATGATTCCAGGTAAGCATCTTCAACTGGTATGAAAAGAGCTCCTAATGCAACAGAAGAAAACATGTTCTACTCTCCCTTTCAATCTGTGTTCCCTTGATGGTGGGGAAAAATGTATATGGCCTCCACTTGGCTTCTTGCCATCCCAGATCAAGGGATCAGAGATGATGTCCTTCATGGTAGTGCTGTTTCCTAAGACGCACCGTGCTGTGGTGAGTTACAGCTCTGGTGTAATGAATTATGTCTCCCCAGCTGCAGGGTATTCTCAGGAGGTGCATTTACTGGTAGATTGGTTTTTGGGGAGTGAAAGTTCTTGGCCAATTATAAGTACCACCAAACATGTCCATCCTTCCCCCAGTAATACTCTAGGAAAGGCTATGTCCCATAGAAGGCCTGTTTCATCCTATACCTGGGGTGCCATAGTCCAAGGGCTGAAATCTCACTCTGCAGACTGTGTCCTCTCAGTCGTGATTAGTGCTCAGTTGCGTTTTGAAGAACCCCACGGAAAGAGAAGTACGGCTCAAAATATGCCTCCAAAACTGACCAAAGATCACATTAGCATGCATGGTATAGGGCTAAAAAGCCTTGGAGTAGCTGGACAGTATAAGGTGTGCTCACACATACTCTGAAACCATGGAGTGAATTGTACATGTTTATGCATGAAAAAATAGGCACTTTAGAACTTTTTCTTCTAAATCCCCAAAGCCAGCCAGCCAAGCTAAGCATATCCTCTTTACCCTTGACCAGCAGGTTAACCCTTAATATTCATCAGTAGGAGAGATGATTTGACTGAGGCCTTAGTAGGGTGGTAATGAAGTTCTTTAGAGATCAAGAATTTTAATGAAAAATAACTTCTAGCCTAGACTTGGCAAATGAAGTGAACCACAGACTTGGAAGTATCCTTAGAGATGACTTAATGTTCAGTTGCCAATGGGAGAAGTGAAGTTGAGAAGGTAAATTTGTTGGTACAATGAATGAACAAAAAATGGCATTTACTGTAAAAATTTTGAGTGGACAAGGAATTGGAGTAGAAATGAATAATTTAAAAAGGTGTTATTAGATGTTTTTGAGCTTGAGAGAAATTCTATTTGTTAGCGTTCTTTCCTTCCTTCTGATAGGCTTGCATGTTTACCATTGTCAGACCAGGCTTTTTTTTTAACTTTATTTAGAATGAGTTTATACATGATATATTTGGGATACTTGCAGACAGTTTAATTAAAACCACTTTTTTTCTCCCCTTCTCATTTGATGGAACTGTTGTCACTGCTAAATTGCATATGCTAACACCTTTTCAGTGACTCCTAAGAACAGACACAGTGCTCAGTTGCTGTTTGATAGGGTGAGAGAAAAATATATATGATTTGAAAAAAAGAGAGAACATATACTCTTTTTAGAACATACTACTAACATGAGGAGAGAAGAGATTTCAAGTTTTCCAGTGTATCTGAGAAGATATGCAAGTGTTTAAAATTATTGTTCCAGTTTTGGGTGCTAATATTAGGATTATCTTTGCTCAAAATACTTTCATGTTTTCTGGGCTTTTCTTTTTTCAGAGGTAACAAGAGTTTCTATTTTTTTATAACAGTTTTATCAGTGTATAATTGACATACAGTTAACTACACATATTTAATGTACATTACTTTCTAAGTTTTGACTATGTATATGCAGATAAAATCATTACCATAGTTAAAAAATAATTAACATATCATTTCCAAAAGTTTTCTTTTGATCCTTTGTAATCTCTTTTACCCATATTTCACTGCCCCTCTGCAACCTGTTCTTAGGAAGCACTGATGTGCTTTCTATCACTATGGATTTCTAGGATTTCATATAAATTATATTAAACAGCATATACTTGTTTTTGTCTTCTTTCTCTCACAGTACTACTTTTTAGATTCATGTTGTAGCATGTATGAATGTACTTTTGTTTGTGGCTAGGTAATATTTCATTACATGGCTGTATCAACGATGGATATTTGGATGTTTCCAGTTTGCTGCTATATGACTAGAGCTACTTTGAAATTTTGTGTCTTTATATGGACATTTGCTTTATTTTTCTTGAGTTGATCCCAGGAGTGGAATGGCTAGATCATATGGTATATGTATGTGTATGTTTAACTTTTCAAGAAACTGCCAACTGGTTCCCAAAGTGTTTGCATTGTTTTACATTTCCACCAACAGTATATGAGAGTCCTAGCTGCTCCACATTCTCCCCAATACCTGAAATGGTCAATTTTTAAAATTTTAGCCATTCTAATAGATGCGTAGTGCTTTTGTGTGGTTTATTTTGCATTTCTCTAATGACTAATGATGTTCAGCATCTTTTCTTGTGCTTATTTGCTATCCATATACAATATATCTTCCCTAGTGACATGTTTGTTCAAATGTTGTGCTCATTTAGAAAATTTTGGGTTTTCTTTTGGAGTTTTGAGACTTCTTTACATATATACAATTCCTTTATCAGATATATATATTACAACTATTTCTCCAGTCAATGATATGACTTTCCAGTCTCTTAATAGTATATTTTGAAGAAGAGAATAATTTAATTTTGATGAAGGACAATTTATCAGTTTGTTCTCTTTATGGATTATACTTTATACTTTTGATGTTGTATCTAAGAAATCTTTGCATAACCCAAGGTCATGAAGGTGTTCTCCTATGTTATGGGCTTTTATGATATACGTTTAGGGCTGTGTTCCATTTTGAGTCCATTTTTGTAACTTGCATGAGGTAAGGATCAAAGTTAATATTTTGCATACATTGAGCAAAATTTGTTTGGAAAAACTCTTCTTTCTCCACTGGATTGTCTTTGTACCTTTGTCTAAAATTAGTTGTATATTTATGGGTGGCTCTGTTTCTAAACTGTTCTGTCACATTGGTTGATTTTTCTATCTTTTCACTAATACTACTCTTTTTATTACTGTAACTTTGTAATCATTCTTGAAATAAGATTTTTTTTAGCTTTGTAACTTTATCCCTTTTTCAAAGATGTTTTGGCTATTCTAGGTCTTCGTTTGTATTTCCATATGAATTTCAGAATGGTTTTGACAATTTCTACCAAAAAAGTGTGCTGGAATTTTGATTGAGATTGAATTGATCTATAGGTTAATTTAGGTAGAACTGCCTTAACAACGTGAGTCTTGTAACCCATGGACATGGTATATCTCTCCCTTTATTTATATTTTCTTCAATTGTAATCAGCAAAGTTTATTAGTTCCAGTCTTTCACACATTTTATCATTTTCATTTAAATAGACACACATTTTATTTAAGTACATTTACTTAAAAATAATTTCACTCCTGTGTATGAAAACCAGTATCACTTGCCATAATTGGAAGGTAACTCTGATAATAAAATAAAAAAACCAGAAAAATATTGTTAAATTCCAGGTAACCACCGTTACTTGCTGAGGCTTTTTAAAATGTTTTTGTTATAAAGCATAATTAACACATCTTAAAAATATCTAAAGACATACAGCAAAATGAACAATTTTCTTTATGTAACCAGGTCTTAATAGAAAAGGGAATTGTTTTCTCACTAGGTAATTCATTTTATTTTAATGTATTTTGATGCAGCACTAAAAACTCATTTCTCATATGTTGTGTATGAGTTCCATAATAGGGAGTGACCAGATTTTAGGCAGTAGTGGCTTAAGCAAAGAATAGAGGTGTGAGAGAGTTTGGGTATTATAGAATCCTCAAAGGTTAGGAATTCCTAGAACAGTAGTTGTAAACCTTGGTTGTATGAAATCATCATCTAGAGAGTTTAAAAGACTCAGACCAAAATAATCAGAATGCTTGGATTGGAGTATCATACCTTTTAAAAGTTCCATAAGTACTTCCAGTGCTGAGGAAGGTTTGGAGAACCTCTTAAGATGTCAGGATGTCCATATGGGAGGCTGGTGATGGTGGTGTGAAGTGGGCAGAAAGCTCAGATTGATTAGCAATATCTGTCCTGGAATCATTAGGTGGATTGGTAAAAATGCCATTGTTTCTTGTTACATTAGGGTATTAATTGCCTGTGAAGGTAGTTGAATATTATCTTGAAGAGCTGACAGATCCATGACTCTCCTTTTCATTAAGACCAAACACTAAACAAATTTTCTGCCTCAAATGCTCTTTTGGTTTAAAAGCAATATAACCTTTTATTTCAATTGAAGGCATTATATGTATATTTCAAGAATACAGTTTAAGAAATATGATAGCATATTTGAAGAATGGTGTAAAGAACCTTCCCCAATACTTTACAATAGGAATATGAAGTATGTTTTAAATAGCTTTAACACAATTGCTACCTATAATGAGTTCCGCATAAGAAATGCATAGACTCGGTTTTCAAAGTATAGAAACCAACTTTACGTGTGTAAATAAACAGAATGCACAAAAAGAATATGAATGTGAATCAGTTTCCTTATTTTTCCTTTGTTCTGACCTAATACCCATTCAAAACAAGGCATCCCTCAGATGGGTGACATCTGCGGTCCGTCAAGCAGGGCTTTCTCATTACATTAGTCAGGCTTCCATCCTGAAGACATAATCTGAGAAAAGGAAAGAAAAGGAGAACTCCACATTCCAAATCTTCAAACTTGCTTAGGAGAAGCGTGCAACTGGGGGAAGAACTTAAAATCTTGCTTCGTTTAAGAGGAGCAGTAAAAGGCATGGGAGAGAGCTTGAAGAGTATTTTACGAAAATACACGTTGAGGAATCCATGGGGTGAGAAAACCAAGTGGGAGAAAAGGGCTTCTTTGGGGAAGGGACACATACAGCCCATCAGGACGGTTTCTTGTGTCCCTCCCCTCCCCTCCTCCCAGATGACCTACGCTCTCCGCCCCGGGGCCCGCCCTCCCCGGTTTCAGCGCTGGGCCCGGTAAACCCGGTAGGCGGGGTTGCCTGGTCGGCGTTTACTCTCTGGCTCAGAAGGCGCGCCTAGCAAAGGGGCATTAACTTGGCACCTCGGACTCCAAGAGGCTCCCAGGGCATCTGCACCTTTAGCGTCTCCAGCTCCAGGAAGCGGTCGTCCGCAACGTACAGCGAGAATTGTGGCGAACTTCATCCGTGTGTGGGTGGGAGGCCGCGGGACACGCCGGTCCTCCCGTCCCCGCATCCGGGCAGGGTTAGCTGTGGACGGCGCCCTCCCAGCGACGACCCCTCGCCAGACACCCCTCGGGAATGGAGCAGTCGCCGTGTGGCAGCAGAGGCCGAGGCGGCGGCCGAGCCCACCTGGTCCCGGGGCTGGTGGCCGCGGCCCCTCCGCCCCGGTCTCCGGCGCTGCCAGTGCCCCTGGGGGTACCAGTTCCTCCAACTTTCCTGCGGCCACCCAGCCTCTTTCTGCGGGCAGCCGCCGCCGCCCCCACGGGAAGCGGAGGCTGCCTGCCGGCCGCCGGACTGGAGAGGGGGCCGGGCGCGGTGGGCTGCGGCTACCCGCGGACCCCCAAGTGCGCCCGTTGCCGCAACCACGGCGTCGTGTCAGCACTCAAGGGCCACAAGCGTTTCTGCCGCTGGCGGGACTGCGCGTGTGCCAAGTGCACCCTGATCGCCGAGCGCCAGCGCGTCATGGCCGCCCAGGTGGCGCTGCGCAGGCAGCAGGCCCAGGAAGAAAGCGAGGCCCGCGGGCTGCAGAGGCTTCTGTATTCTGGACCCTCGGGGCCCGGGAGTCAGACGTCCGGGAGCCGCAGAGCGGAGACTCCCCGGGCCTTGAGCGGCCCTGTGACGGTGACTGCGCTGGGACTGGGGGCCTTGAGGCAGGCTAGCGATCCGGTGACCCCTGCTTTCGAGGTTTTCCAGCCAGACTATACGGAGGAAAAACAAGGTGAGTTGGTCTCTCATTTGCTCTTTGCAGAAGAAAAATGGTTGTACTGGAGAAAAAGTATTTGCAACAAGCAGCGCTGTCCTAGAAGCGGGCAAGAAAGGTTGTTTAAAAGGGGCACTAAAGTTTTGGGAAACTGCTCTGCAGTATGGACGTTAATGAGGGTGTTAAGACCCATCCCTTGTTGGAAGTGGCTTCCGCTCCTTTAGGTGAACAAGGTGAGATTATGAAACAGTGAAGGGCGGGCGATGAGATGAGCGACTCACGGTAGAGTGAGTAGGCGCCGAAGTCGCTGTGGCTTTGTCTCTGTCGAGTGGAACTTCAGCAGGCAGTGAGTGAAGGGCTGGCTCAGTGAGAGAAGCTGCCTGTGAGCCTGCTCTGTACCCATCTCAGCTATAAAGTCAGAGAGAACCTTCGGATCCTGTGTGGGAAAGTCACCGATAACTGGGCATACAGTTCTTTACCTTGGGGGCAAACCTGTGGCTACAGCTGGTGGAGGGGGAAGAGACAGAATCTACCAAAGTCTCTTTTAAATCCCCTTCTTTAAAATTTTTAAGCATTCCATCAACCCCGGCTCCCAAGTGTTTGTCTGCTTTCAAAAGTATAGAAACCTCTAATATTTGAAGTTTCAGTTCTTCTCATGGGAAATAGAGGTTTTCCCGATATGTAAAACCATGTATAAGAATTTCAAAGTCTAGTATTAGGGATTTCTTATCAAATGAGTATTAATTTTTTCTCTTATTTGTAGACTGTTAATCTACTTCATGCCCTGTTAGGTGAAAAAGATACTTAAAAAAAAATCCCCCCAAATGATGAACTTTTCCTGCTAATATAGATCTCACTGCATTTTAGTGAATTTCATAGTCTTCCACACAGTGAAAATGTCATTTAGTATTTTTGTATAAATCCAATACAGGTTGTAGCATATGAATATGATAATGGTATAGTAACTTTTAAAATTAGTTCCCTAAATTGTGAAAATTGCAGGTCTTAACAGACCACAGGATATACTTTTGAGACTGTCCCTGTTTAAATAAGGCATATATGGTTTTGTGTTTCTTTATGCCAACTCTTTGCCCATGTTCTAGTTTATTTCAGTAGACAGAATAGACTTTAAACATTTCTCATGAAAAATCAAAAAGGACTGAAGAACAAAGTCATTAAACAAAATTGCCCTAAAAAAGAAGTAAAAGTTGAAATTCCATAAACTAAATGGACATACTGGCCGACAAAACTGCTAGAGATAGACAGGTGATTTTTTGTTGTTGTTGGGGGGAAGGCAAGGTGTTCTATTTTAGAGAGTCAATTATTTTATTTTATTCCTCGTGTCAGTTGACCTTCTTATTTGAGAAGCTATTTCATGACTTTTATAAACTTCCTGCCTCCTCCTTCTCAATATCCATGAACTGCAGTAAAGTAGTCTGTGTAATTTACTCATTCATCAGACAAAGACTAACAGTGATACAGAGATGAATAAGGTTTTCTTATGTGAAGGAAACATATTCAAAAGGAAGAAAACTATTTATACAAATATTACAATACACAAGATACAATGATACAAGTGAAGAAGCAAAACCAGCAATCAGAGTTGAGAAAAGATTATGTAAATGATATCACAGTATTTTAAAGATATCTTTTTTCTAGATAGTCTTATACAATCAGTATTTCATTATAATGCATTGTACTCATTTAATAATAAAAATTACTTTATGCATAAATTGCTGTAGAGATGAAATTTTGATACCTTACATGCTCAGGGGGACATATTTAATGAATCATATTTATAAATAAAATAGAATGGTGGACCAAGGCCAGTCTCTCTCCATTTGGCAGACTTCATTAGAAAAGTTTTATTGTTTTATTTAGACTTAAAAATATTAGAAAGTACTTATAGTTTTGCAGTAGTAACATCATTTTTTGTCATGTTTGATATAATGATGGCATTTTAACCCTCAAAGTATTAAATTGCACACACTTTAATTTTAAAATAAACTATAGCTATTTTTCAAGAGTTCATGATTGCTCCTTGAGAAAACAGAAGTATTGCAAATCATGTTTGCATATCACTGCTTTAGTCAGTATTTGTTTTGTTGCATCCATAAACTTTGTGGAAAAAGATAGTGTGACAGAAATACTGAGCAGCTCAATTGACAGTTTACTTTTTCTAATGGAATTAGAGATAAAATATGTCAATAGGGTAAGAGGGGATGTAAACCAGAATAAAAGTTATTTAGTGAATGTATGCATTGTTATTACCTGGCATTAGCCTTGTAAAAAGGCTTTAAAGATGTTCTTGTTTTATTAATATTCATATGCCCAACATGTTGAGGTAGAAAATCATATTTTTATATAAAATATTTTTTTCAGAATTGCCCTTAATATTGGAAGGGAGTTGTGATTTGAAGCAAATGACTAATATGCTGTTTTATGCTTCAAATGCCTTGAAGATACATATAGATACATATAGATTGCAATAGTGCAATATTACAGTTAATTTTCTTTTTCAATAATTTTCAATAAAGTCTTCTCTTGATATTTTCTGGAGATAATGAAAAAAGTACCGTCTCTGTATCATCTCTCACATAAAATGAAATAATGTGAGCTCTGGTATAATTTGAGATTGGTGCAGTGGTAGTTACTGGTTTAGGTTTGAAATGGAATTTAAAAATTTCTTTTTTCCCCCCATTATTCAGGTAACATAATTAGAAGCTCAGATGTGAGCATGAGAAAATCAATTGTTAAAATTTAGCACTAGTGATTAATATTCATTTTCATACTAAGATTGTTCCTTCTTTTCATTTCTTATCTAAACAGTCATTTTACTTCTTTTCACATAGTGTCATTGTGAAAAAAACGGGTAACAACAAAACTTGGATAACATTTAGGAAGAATCTCAAATTGACAAATGGGGCAAATAGTGAGAGATAGATGTTACATTAATCCTTTGGGGTAAAAATAGACTTTCAACTTCTGATACCTACGTAACTACATTATTAGCATATTATATAATTCTGTGACCCTGAAATAACATAATAAATAACATTTCCCACTATTCTAACACCTGCATTTCTGAATGACTTAAAAAAATTTTATTCATTAAAATCTCCTACAGTCAATAAGTATTAGTAATGTACAATGAGTGAATGTGTTATTTTATGCAGCAGTATTTTTGAATGGGCTCTATTATGTCCTGGGAAGTTTGCCATTTATTTGATTTTCTTTTATTCCCCCTCTCTCCCAGAACAAAAAGAGAGTAAGCGTAACTCATGCCAGAGTGGACAAGAAGAACCGGTCTCCAAATCCCATCAACTTGCCCTGGGATCATCTCCTAAGTCTAATGGTGTCATTGGAAAACAAAACTTCAGGTCGTCTGTTTCAGAAAAGTCAAACAAGGATGATACCTTTCAGTCTCCTCACCCTGGAGAACAGTCAGGAGGCGAAGAGAGTCCCAGGTCCCTATCATCCTCTGATTTGGAATCAGGAAATGAAAATGAGTGGGCCAAAGACTTTATTGCTTCCAGAGCCAGACTTCCCACAGTGTCCTCAAGATCAAGGGACCCTCTGGATATCCTTACCAAGATATTCCCAAGTTACAGGCGCAGCCGTCTAGAAGGCATTCTACAGTTCTGCAAAGGCGATGTGGTTCAAGCCATTGAACAGGTCCTAAATGGTAAAGAACACAAACCAGGCACCAGGGACCTAGCAAGCTCAGGAGAATTGGAAAATACAGCTTTTCAGAGAGGTTCAAATTTTAGTTTAGCTGGAATTGGTTTTGGAACTCTAGGGAATAAATCAGCTTTTTCTCCTCTTCAAACTACTTCTGCTTCTTACGGAGGTGACTCAAATCTCTACAGCTTAAATCCTAGACTAGGTATCAATCCATTACGGCTGGCATATTCCTCTCCAGGAAGAGGACTGTCTGGTTTCATGTCACCCTATCTAACTCCTGGGTTGGTCCCAGGATTGCCTTTTCGGCCTGCCTTGGATTATGCCTTTTCAGGGATGATTAGAGATTCTTGCTACCTTCCCAGCAAAGACTCAGTAGCTGGTGGCAGACCATATTCCAGGTCAAATCAAGACAATCTGTAATGCATCTGCCTCTTCTCCCTTTCTGGAGTATTTCTAGAAGCATGCAATAAAACCCCCATCCCTACCCCCAAACACCCACATCTATTCATGTGTTCACTATGTATGGTGAGTGGATTATCATGCCTTAAAAATGTTAGTTTATTTTACAAGCAATATTATAGACTTGGGATTTAAAGATTCTTCTTCAGCATTTATTAAGCATTTAAACATTATGCGTGCCTTGAATAAAGCCATTTCGGGAAATATTTCTACTTTAAATGAATTTTCTCTGTAAAATATGTTGTAAAATTCCTATTTTAAAACTGTACTTGTTTTTATTTTATTGAAAAGTGGAGTTTATACTTGTAAAATACATTGTAAGTGTAAAGCAGTTCAGCATTACATAGAATTAACCAAAAGGAAGAATTTAAGAAATTGAGGTAATTCTAAATAATTATTATCTTAACTTTTCCTTTCCTTCTGTTTCTTGTGTACAGGAGAGAAAAAAGTTATTAAACTTAAAAAAAAAATTCTCATACAAGTGATTACTAAAACTTTTGAGAAATTTAAGTTTCTCATTTTTTTCTGAATGCCTTATTTTTCATTCTTTTCTCTCAGTTGTGGTAAGTGCCATTAATAAAACTTTTATTGTAGGAAAACATTGTGAATTATATAAAAGCCTGTGAAGTAAATCTTAGGAAATGAGACTGCGCCATCTCCTGGTCACTATCCCTAATTACAACTAAGTTTTGGTGGAGTATAGGAATTAGAAGCAAATGGTATAAACTAACCATTTTTTGAAATGGTCATTTTGGATCATGCTACATAGAAATTTTCAGACTATAAAGTGAACATCTACTATGGATGAGGATTTTAATCTTTAAGTACACTTATGCGTGCATCTTGGGAAATATCCCTTTCCCTATGTTTATTACAAGAATATGGCAGCCATTCTTAAAAGTTAAAAATAATTTTATTCAGAAAATTTAAAAAGCTACTAGGATGAATATTGACTGACTATAGATAGATAATGCTTAACACACTAGGGAGAGATAGAAGATTTCCAAAGGGGAAAAATTGTCATTAAATTTTAGAGGTTTTCTTGAGATTTTAAAAATAGTTTTTGTTCTCCATCTGGAGCATTTGAAAACTATTTCAGTCAGTGAAAAGTCCCTGAGAAAATTGCTTACAAAACAATTCTATGAAGTTTTCTTTATATGTCATCAATTTTTTTTTAAGGACAGTAGCTTTATTATTATTGTCAGGAATAAAAGGAAACCCAGCTGCGGTATAAGATAGTTAATGAATTAGAGATGGCTTAAACAATTTCAGCAGCATGATTCACTAAAGATTTCTTTAATTATATGTGTGTGTGTGTGTCTACATATACAGAGAGAGACACACACACACACATATAAACACACATATATATTATACACTCAAGCCCTATTAGGTCTGTTATCATGATTGCTTTTCCATGAAGCCAAATAAGAATGTATTTCTAAAGTATATTTTACCAGTATCATTTATGAATGCATAGTATCTGATGCTTATTTAAGATGTAAATGTGTTTGAGTATGGATTATTTTTAATGGTGTGAACGTGGGAAAGCAGATGTTGCAAAGATTTGATGCAATCAATATTCATTATTTATAAAAAATTGAAACCTAAGTGGTACAATGACTGGGAAGTAGTTGATACACAATTAATATATACTGAGTGAAAAAACCATTTTGGATAATAGATTTCTTTGAGACTGATAAAACCAAAGAATTCTACAAAATGGCCTATAGACATATAGTTTTCCATGCAATTTCATGGGGTTCTTGATACCTAAATACCATTTCTCATTCTGTTTAGAATTGTTGGTGATTCTTAAATTGTTTCCATTGCATTAATTTGAATTCCATTGCATGAATTCCATTCCATTAATTATCAGTACTATCTTTTGAAAGTGCTAGAGCCTCTAGAGGATTCCAAATATAAAATATTGCACTCTCAAGGAAGTTACATTATATAGTGGCGATCTGGTTAAAAAATACAAAAATGCTAGAGTTGCTGGATTCTTTGTGTGGTTTATAGAATGATGTGCATGTATCTGTTACAGAGAATTGTTTTTGAACTAGAGAGAACATCCATTTTGGGCAGTATTCAAATTTTAAAAAATTATTTTATAATCTCAAAACATATATTAATGTACCTGATGCTTTATACATTTCATACACTTTAAAATAATTGTAGAACTTAAATCATTTTATAGAATAGGTTGTTTTGTCCAACAATTAGATTGAATGTGAGGAAATTGAGGCTCAGCAGTAGTGTTGTCTATCACTAGGTTTACAATGAGAGTTGCAGTCATCAGGTGTGGAAGTTACTTCCCCAATTCAATTAGACTATAAGGTCTGAAGGATTCATGTCTGTCCACTCAAAGCTTTGAATAGAATCTGGCACATAATAGGTGCTCAAGTGACAGTGTACACTTATTGAATTAAGTAAAAGATAAAGCATTAGCTTAAAAATCCATTTATTTAGTGACTATTTATAAGCACCTACTTTGTGCCAGGTACTGTGCTAGACAGAGGGGATAAAGAGGTAAGATTCAAGTCCTTGCCTCGGGTTGCCTGTAGTTCATATAACTATATGTACAAAAACAAGCAGATAACCAATGTTGGTACTGTTTGACAGTGCTGGCCCTTCAGTGAGTTCTGTGTGATATGAGGTTTATGCCCATGGATGCTGCTTGATGTCAACTCCTAGGCCACTAATGAGGGGTGGGGAGAAAAAGGGAGAACATGTGTTTCCATATAGTGTGTTTCAGAAAGTCCATTACATTTGTCTGAAAGGTAAACAGCTCTCAGGTCTATGATGATAAAAGTAGGCAAAGAGGACACTTTTGTGCATTTGAAAGGAGATTTGTGTGGAAGTCACCCTCGCTTCCTCATGGCCTCTGGCTGAGAGTTATGGTCTGATTCCAGTCCCAGTGCTGCTCTTCTGGAATTCCTCTGATTCAGTGCATAGGCGTCCAGGTCTCAGCTCTTGTCTAGCTATTTTGTGAAAATGGGTTAGAGTTGAAAGGACGACTGAAAAGCATGTGAGTCAAATGATCTAGTTTTTCTCTGCAACTTGAGTCAAAAAGATTCTGGAATTTGAAGATGCCTCTCCTAGAGATTCCTAACTGTGAACTTGGAACTAAGAAAACTATGAAGTGGCCTATCCATTCAATTCTCTATTTGTATAAGTGTGTTTCCCTTAGACATTTGTTTATGTTGGAAATTAAAAAACCTTCAGCATACAAGAAAAGCCTGGGACAAAGCACTTTGTCATATACACTGTAAATAGAATCATTCTCCCCCCACACAAAATGATATGAAGCACATCATTAATTTCATGAAGGCAAAGCTTTCCCCAGGGTACCTTGATTCTGAAATATAGAAGCTCATCCTTTAGGTCAAGGATAGTGGAAAAAATTCTTGCTCAGATCCATTCCTTCTACCCTCACATATCTCCAGGTAATCCTGGTGATGTCTATATAGACCCTTAATTATTTGACATCATCCTCTCTAAAATTGAAGCTGTTTTGGTGAAATGCTTCAGAGCAGTTGTGTCAAACAAACATATATATATGTATGTATGATATGTGTGTGTATATATATATATATATGTTTTTGCTTACTGAGTGTTACTTGAATGAGAGACATTTACTAGTCCTGTTTGTTAACTCTATGCTAATGATGGGAGTTTCAGGGAAAACAAGATGGCAATGATGAGAACTGTGAAGATGTCTGTTTCTCACTTTTGCTAATTTGGCAATTTTAAAAGATTGACTTTTTCTAGCTATATCACAATATGCTCAAGTCAAAATGGCAACAGTATGTAGTCTGATGAGACATGCATAGTTTAAAAATAGATGCATAAATATGCCCATATCAAAACATCTATGTCAAAAAGTTGCTGTAAGATATTTATTAAAATCCATCCTAGAGACAAGTTCATTCAGGAAAAGTGGACTAGATGTTGATAAAATTGGGAGGAAATATATAGAAAGTTGAGCAAGTGTTCAAGGAATGGTTGATTAGAAGGTTCACATCAAGTAGGTGTTTTATATTTCTGTCCTTGGCCTTTTATAAAATTTCTGTCAACCAATTAGATGAAACAATAAAGGTATACAATTCATTGTTACCTTATTCCCGAATAACATGCAACTGAGAATAGCATTCATCTTTTGGATGACTGAATCGAGTTATACATGATTGATTCCCACCTTCTAATTCCCATTCTAGTGAGCTGATACAACGTTCAAGATATTAGGGTTAAAAAAAACACAACTGCACACATAAACAACAAGGAAGAGAGACCTGAATATACATTAATTGGAATAAAGTATGTAGACTGAGGGAGGTGGTACCATGTACTCTGAAATATTGGTTGGTCAGATATTAGCTGAAGTGGTGTGATCAGTTCCGAGTGTCACACAGTAAGAGTGATTCTAAAATCTGGGATATGATCAGAGAGGCATAAGATGCTAAGTGGTGAATGTGGTGGGTGGTAGTGTTCTATGAGAAAGAGTTTTAGAAAAAGAAATAAAAACATTTAAAGAACTGGCATAGGACAAAAATGAATTTGGTTTATTTTTTGGAGTACAGAGGGCATAGAAGTTAAAAGTTCCATGGAGAGAGAATTCAGAGGAAACAAGGAAGGACTTATTTGGCGGTTAGCAACTGCCCGAGAATGGAATGGTCGCCGAGTATAATAAGGTGTCCATTACTCATAGAAAATACTGCATAGAAATTACCAATCAGAGACCTGATTGTTGGGATTTTTTTCATTACTACTTCAGTGTTGGGACTGAATCATTTATAAGGAAACATTTGTTGAATAAATTAACAAATGACTTTCAATTCTAACACCAAGGAAGTGAAAACACCTAACCATTAGTTGTCAATAAAACACATTGCAATTTTATTCATCAGAATTTTCCTATATGATAGTCTCTTAGGAATTGATAAACATGAAGAGACAGAATACAGTTAATGATTTACAAGGAGTTCAGAGTGGTAGGGGTTATGTGAGGTCAGTTGGTATACAAGGCGTAAAGAAGGAGAGGAGGGCTCAAGTAAAAGGCCGTGCAAGAGCATTGAAGATACACTTCAATGTATTTTCCATAAAGTATACACCAGTAAGTGTTCCTAGAAGGAGTGCTTACTGTGGAGTGGAGGAGACTTAGGATGGATTTAGCTGTATGACATGGGCAAGTCACTTAAACTCTCGGGCATTTGTTTCCTTTCAGTAAAACAAGAATAATATCTAACTTTCAAGGTTCATAGAGATAAATGATGGCTTAAATAAGCTGCTTAATACTGTCATGCTTATATCCTGGGTACTAAATAAATTACTCTCACTTTTATTAATTTGTATTAAGATACTGTCACAGTCTCTCAACAGGGTATCATAATTGCATTTAATCCACTTTTAGTGCACATGGAACCCCAAAGGCTGTCGTCACCACAGAAATACCCAGCCATAGTTCCAGACTTCCTGTTTGATTTGTTTGTTCATTTCGTAGGTGAGCCGTGCTTTTATAACATATTGTTGCACATATTTTTTGGATTCTTTTAAGGGTGGTGTGGAGTAAGTGAACAGCAAAATGACAGTTTTGATTCAGTCAGGATTTAACAGTCAAGATACAGTCAGGGAAACAGAGTTCTTTTAAGTATATATGCAAATAAAGGAGTTGTTATAGAAATTAAGCCTAACACAAACATAGGAGGAGCTGGGAAGTGAAGGTTTGCAAGAGGGAAATTGACAGATCAGAGAAAGAATCACTATCTAATCTACCTAAAGCATTGTAATGAGTAGACAGGTGGGACCAAGTGGGAACTTGTTGGAATTCTGTGAAGTCCAACATGTCCAGTCACTTAAATGGTTCCAAAGGGGAGTTGTGAGGGGCTCTAAGGGGAGCTAGTGCCTCTGCATAGCTAACTCTGTGGGTCTGCAAGCAGGCATCTGGTGGTAGGTCTGCTGCCAGTATTGGTCAACAATTCAGGGGTCCAGTGAGTCCCTGTCAACTTGGCGTTCATTCTCACTTATGTTAACCATATTTACTTTAAAATAAAGGCAAAACCAAATTCATTATTTCAAACAAGGAATTGATACAACTATCATTTGTACAATAAAAATGCGCTAATCCTGTCCACAAAAGAAAATGTGCAAGGTGCCGTCTCCATCTTTGAGGGATGCTCATTGCACTTCTAGCTGAATCAGATAGCCCTTTGGATGTCCTTTAATTTTAACCCTGAGATATAGTTAATCAGTATTAATAAATCTTAAGTTAGAGGAGGGAAATGGAACAGAGGGAAAATTGGTACACATATGTGCATGTGTGCATGCACACACACACACACACACACACATTGTTAATTAGAAGCAAGGAAGAAATAAATGCTCCTATCTACTAGCACCTTCATAATTGTAGCTGGTCATGGGAGCATAGATAGTATTTATAACTTCCTTTTTCCATTCCCTGTTTCATATTCTCTTTGCTTCCAGCAAGTGTCTCTGTTATTTGTGGTGCCTTACTTGGTGGGTAATTCAAATTTTCATCCTGAAGAATCTATGCCATTACAGTCCTGCCTTTGTTGGGTCATAGCTTTCCATTAATTTTTACCATAAAACATGGGAAGCCTAAGCAATACTCCTGATTCCTGCATGTTGGAATTACTCCCCCTACATTTTCTCCTGTTGTGTCAGTGGCCTGAGGTACCCAGTTTCAAATGATAGTCTCAGGTGCCAGTACAGTGTTGTATTCTCTATTGGAATCATTTCTTCTTTGGGAACTAAGACTTCTAAACCAAAAAACCAAAAGGTATAGAGAAAGGAAACAAAAATGTTGTTAGTGAGTCATTAGCATTGATACGATAGGAACTGTACCCGTACCTATTCTGTGATTCCTAGACTCATGAAATGAGAAATATCACTACATATTTATGGTCGATTCAAAGCATATCTTACATCCAGGAATGCATTATTGCAGCCCCATAAAGTGCTGTCACCAGCTGGAGCCATAACTGAGTCTTCCAAAGGCCATTCCCTAATTTTATTAGGCCAGCTGTTTCAGGATGAGAACATAATGACACCAGGGAAGTCCATGAGCATGAGACCAATGTTGTACTTCATTTGCTATAAAATGACTTTCTTTGTCAGAAGAAATGTATGGAATATTAAAAAGGTGAAGAAGGCATTCTGTAAGTCCACAGAGGGTGGTTTTAGCAGAAACATTGAGTGTATGGAAGGCAAAACTATATCCAGCACAATATCTCTTCCAGTGAGAACAAAGAGCAGCTTCTTCAATGGTGGCAGTGATTCAATGTAATCAACCTGCTACCAGGTGGCTGGCTGGTTTCCCCAGGGAAAGATGCCATTTTAGGGGCTCAGGGTTGATCTTTGCTCTTGGCTGGCTGGGTGCTCAGCAATGGCTCTAGCCAAATTGGCTTTGGTGAGTGGAAATCTGTTATTGAGCTCATACATAAGCTCCATCTCTGCTTCCATGATCATTGCATTCATGAGCCAATTGAGCAGTTATGTGGATAAAAGAACAGGGAAAGAATGGGTAACCTTGTGAACACATACGATTACTAAGATCTTCCTCTTCTAAGGTTGCTGTTTGGTGAGCATTTATTTGTGTGAAACAAAAATACTCTAATAATTTGTGCCCATTTGGAGAGACCTTTCCCATCCCTCTACCCTAGATCATGTTTCTTCCAGGTTGCTGACCATCCAGCCAAACAGTTAGCTACTGCTCACGACTCATTTTAGGTATGTACCTCTATCCATCTCTCCTTCCAGGCAAAATGAACAATCAGGTGCACAGCGAAGTTCTATCCAATGAAAAAATTTTCTTCATTCCTGTCCTTCAATGCCACACCGGTAGTGCTACAGCTGTCCATTTCAGATAGTGCCAGAAGAGTTTGAGGCATCATCTGTGAACAAAGACCGAATTATTCTTCCTCACTCTGCTGTCATACAAAACTTTACATAAGAGAGAACAAGGAGGCAATATGGCAGTAGGAGCCATGGAAATTTGAGCCAGTTTTCATGCATCCTTTTGATCTGGGCTTATGGCTTGGTGGGTTAGAAAACACCATGTTCATATGAGTATTTAAAGTCACATAGATATTTAATGGCCAATATTAAGTGTTAGGACTCTACTAGGACCCAGTTACAAGGCAGAAACTGCTTCTCAGATGAGAATACTTATCTGCAGAGAAAGAATAACTTTTCTTCAATGTCCAAGTGGCATATTCTGTGATTCATCTATAGGGGTCCACCAAATCTTTCCCTTAGGATCCTCAACTGTCATAGATGGTTTAAGCACTATTGGATATACTGAATCATATGGTCCAAGTGGCAAGACAAATCGAGTGGAAGCCTGGTTCTGTAGCAGAACCTCCTT